GGGGCACAACATTGTGTTTTTGTGAATATAGCCTGTCAGTCTGCTTTGCCGAGTACAAACTGGCATCATTAGTGAGCCTTAGGCTGGCTGCCGCAGCACACTGGGCTGAGCACTGACAGCAAGGAAATGTGGAGTTTAAAAACTGTTATTTTTTCCATCGTATTTGTATATTTGACAAGTTTGCATCTCTGAAAACGTCATTACAGCTCAACTGACAAATCGTAGCAAGACATGGCAGCATCTGGCAACGCGCGCGCTCGTAAATGTGCACACACCCTGAATGCTGTCAGTGAGAAGAGAGCATTAAGCAGCATCAATCAGACTTAAAAACAGCAAACACATTAAACAATTCCAGTTAAACAAATTATGAGTTTTATCCACACTCACCCTCTGAAATGTTAACTACTTAAAAAGAAAACTCTTCACAAGCCTTTTTCAGTTTCACACCTATAAAACATAATGGCATTCGCTGTGGTGGAGATAAATGGTTTCTTGTAATTCTCCTCCGCTCTGTTGAGTTAGTTCTGAGAAACTGGTTAAATAGAAAACAGTGTGAATAAGCGCCTTGATATTGGCTACAACTTCAAAATGAGTTCATAAACTGAGCAAAGCTGTTGAATTACATTCGGTTATATCAAATGAATAATAGGATTACATTCCCACACTATGAGAGGATTACGTGGCACTAAAACACACTGAACATGGTGTTTTTCTTTGATTGCCACATAAGAGGCTAGATTGCATTTACATGTACTGAATGACAAAAGGTTATTTGAGGCTAGATTTTGGCTAGATTGTGGATTTCAAACTAAAGGAAAAACTGAGAAAATTCCTTGCATAACTGGTAATTTGCTGTACTTCCTGTACTTTCATGCCCATATCCATGTACTTGTTAGTTGGCAGAGGGTTATGGTGCCATACTACAGCCTATTTTTGTAGACACATCCTGCAAACAATATTTACAGCAAAAACATGGTGATGACTACCAAACACCTGGACACACAGCCATTAGTGTGATCTATAATATGGTATTTTTAAGACCAATACTGCTGGTAAGGGTATTTGGTGAATTAAAATTTTTTTTAGTTGTAGTTACGTATGTGCTCCTATATGCTTAGATTATCTGGTGGTATTTTTCAGGTGTGCTCCCATCACAGTAGTTGCACAGTGTCCCCTGGTGGATGAACTTTGCAACATCAACACCAATAACACGCTGCTGAAGGGTGTTTCTCCCGTCTCTTTGGCTGATAGCTAACATTAGTTGATAACATCAACCTGGTGATAAACTGGTCACTCTCTGGTGTGATAATCAACAAGCCATTAGGGGCAAGAAAAATAATTTGGATTCTTTTCTGGGAAACTGTCATGTTTTCCATCTTTATAAGTAGGCTTGCAGAAAAAAACAAAGCTGAAAAATGTGTATAAGTTATACAAAGCTTAATCAAACTGCTGTATAACCTGCTGCTTGTAGAATTTTATTTATGTTTTTGTTATTTAGATAGAACCTGGACAGCTGTTTCACTGTGTTTTAGTTTTTCAGCTAAAAAGCACACTGACCATAATGCATTTCTTTGTTTAACAGTATCATTTATATCTGCTTTTTGGTGTAGATTGTTGTTGCTAAAGGCCCGCATGTTGGGTTTCTATCCTCGTGTCAGTCCTCCACTCTGATCATCTTCACTTCTGTTTGTTCAGAAACCTCGATAGGTCCCTTCTGTGTCTTTTTTCTCTATCGGCTTTGCTTCGTAGCTTTTGTCAACTTGACTGTCCTGCTGCCAGCCTTCTGTTCGTTTTTAATCTGTACTCCCACTTTGTTGTCTTTTTATTTTCGTCTCTTTGTTCTTAACTTTTATTTGCTCTGCCTTTCGGCCTCCTGTGCCTGCTGCCCTTTATTTTTGAGTTTGTCGTGGGTTTTTTCCCTTTGTTTTCAGGTTTTCCCCTACTTTAACCCCCATCACCATTCCTTCTGCTATTAAATATCTTCGCCACCTTTCATCTCTTTTTTTCCTGAATTTTCTAAAGTCCATCTTTATTCAGTTTACTGTTTCTTTACTGTATCATAACCAGCATTTGTTACTGTAATTATGATCAGGACCCTATCTCTGTTGATTTTAGGGATTAGTCACCACTGTACACAAGGGAAATGTCAGGATCACTATGACATGTTGTTGATGATTAGTCTCATCAAAAGTGTGTGTAAAGTAATGAAAACATTTTAATTGGTGTTGTATTTGGAATATTTAATGCTTGTGAGCTGCCTCACAGTGTTGTAGAGGGTAAAAAATATGTGTTTGCAAATTTCTTAAGACAATTACATAAGAAAGCATGATTAGCTGAGGTCATACAAAGTAACCAATAAATACATTTGCAAAATACTAGCAATCCAGGTTGCACTCTCCCTATTGCCCTATGACAGCTGGAATAGATACCAGCCCAGCTGTAACCCTGAACTAGATAAGCAGAAGAAGATTTGGATGGATGGATGATTGGATGGATGGATGATTGGATGGATAGATGGATGGATGATTGGATGGATGGATGGATGGATGGATGGATGGTGGATGGATGGATAGTTGGATGGATGATTGGATGGATGGTGGATGGATGATTGGATGGATGGATGATTGGATGGATGGATGATTGGATGGATGGATTGATACCTTTTGATTAAAAAAGCTGTCTGTCTCTCTGTCCCCAGGTCTTCTCTGACGTGCCCCCATTGCCTTAAGCAGAGCAACACCTTTGATCCATTTTTATGCATCTCTCTGCCTATTCCTCTACGACAAACCAGGTAATGCATGATACATAAGGCATGAGATCCAGTCTAAAGTATATTTGTTGCTGTTTGTTTACTAATTATAACATCAAATATAACTTATTATGAGCATAGGGTAACAACTTATTTTTGTTTGTAGTTGTAGTTTAAATACTTCCTTTCATAGAGTTTCTAGTTGTTTTTCTTTTTTTACTTCACAAACTGCATTTTGCTTGTTCTCGGCATCTTTAATTAAACATTAGTGCAGATTTTTCGTTGTTCACTTTGGTCTCCCTGTGGTCTCTAAGGGTGTTAAGTTTTAGTGCAAGTGTTTCAAACTTTCTACCATAGTCTGGTGTGCAAGGAAAATCCCTCACAGATTGCTGTGCAATCATGCAAAACACTTTTTGACAGTTGACACTGTGAACATATGAGGTTGTCACCAGATAACAGTGATATGGATAGTATCTTCTAGGCTCCATAAGTAAATAAAAACATTAGAAAAACAACACCGCAAAACATTCCAAAATGTTGCCAATTTAGATTATAGAAAAACATGCATGCATTTATACTAACATGCTCTATACACCAAAAACAGCCATGTTCATATCAAAGTGATAAATGCTGGTCAACCGAGGTTCCTGACCACACACTTCCTGTGCTTCCATTTTTAACCCAAGAAGCTGCATGTCAGCAAGGTTCTGTGGTAAAACAGTGCGACTCTGACGTGTGAGTGGGGAGAAAGGGAGCTAGCAATAGAGTCAGATGGGATGTTTTATTTTGACAGCAGAGATAATGGTGAAGGTATACAAGAAACAACAAAAATCGTATGAGACACCTGTTTTCTTGCCATCCAAATGAAGTAGCAGAGGCACAGCAACACAGGCAATCTCATCCACACATCACTGATAGTTTTCAACATACATACAAAATGCATTACTAGCTGTGTGGGTTCATGATTGCAAATTAATTGCTTTTCAGTCAGCTGAATTAACTTTAACTAGACTTTAACTTGACTCTGAATAACTGATAGTTCTACTACTCGTGTGGAGAGGTGCTGATTTAAAGTATTTTGCCTGATTAGATCTCTTCGACTGTGTGGGAAGTTTGATTAACTTTTTTCACAAGTTGTTGTGCTACAAATTAGACTTATATCATTCTCATTAGCAAATGGACCAGGGATTTATATCAAAGCTCTAATTCACATTCACACTAAGCTTCAGTCTAATTATCCAAAATGACATGCAGTTGAATTTAGGTTATACAGTAGTGGGTACAACACTGTAGATTTTGATATCTGTCCTAAGATATTCATATGCAATCTCCCTTTTTCACAAATGTTCGCCCCTACAAAAAGCATCTAAAAAGGCATGAAATATGCTGGAGTCTAAGCCATCTGTTATGGGGTGAAAGGCAGCGTACACCCTGGACAGGTTGCCAGTGTATCTCAGTGTATCATAGAGAAACAGATAACCATTCACAGTCACATTCAAGGCCAGTTTAGAATCACCAGTTAACAGTAACAGGTTACATTAGGTTAAATGCATTAATACATTCCAGGCTTTGGAAGCTTTTCAGTTTGCCTTCATTTGCTACACAATGAATCTTCCTATTTTTAGGAATGCAGATGTCACTCTTCTGCATCTTCTCTGCATCCACCAAGCTAACTCCAAACTCATTTTTGCAGCTCAGGCACTCACTGTCTCGTGACAGTATGCAGCCTGTTCCTGCAGTTTCCATAGCCTAGCACACAGAGAAATTCATTCAGGTTCAGCTTGAACTTACTGCTGGCCAAACATTGACCTGACACACACACACATATGCATGCACACACACAGTGGCCTCATTGCACCGTCCTGCTGCAGCAGTATCCCAGCTGAATGCTGATAAGTCTGAGACCCCCAGAGAGACAGAAGGGTCTGGCTGCCAGCATGGCATCAAGGCCTGGGTGCTGTAGATAATGCCAGTATGGCAGAGAGAATGAGAAAAGCAGAATGGGAATGTTTTCTGCCGATCACCTAACTTTACAATATTTAACCTTGAGCAGTCGTGGCATCATTGTTACCAAACTTACTGTTATTCAATTTAAAATAGTCAAAAAAGTTCTAAACACAAATCTGTCACATGACTTCAGTCTACTGTGCAGCCATCACTGGTGCCTTTCTGTGTGAAGTCTATAGATTCTCCTTTTGCCTGTGTGGATTTTTGTGAAGTCCCAAGACTTGCATTTTAGGTTAACTTACTGTTCTTAAGTGGCTGTAGTTGTAGATATGAGTTTTCATTGGGTATCTGTCATTTAGGTAGGCTCTAACAATACAAAGGCTGCACAGGTGTAGAGTATTTGATTGGATGAAGCCTGTTTCTCATTTTGTAATTGTACAAGTGCTTGTTTCATAACCACACTGTATGTAATCACTATAATGACTGACACAAGGTGTGAAAATCATGAGTGGATAGGCAAAAAAATTACAACCTGATATACTTCCTGTTACATAAGAGAAAAAGGCTGTGACAGACAGACTGGAAAAATGACTGAAGCGATACTTTGGAATACACAGGAGTAAACTAAACATCAGCAGGCTATAGCAGGTCTCATATTGCATTTAATGCTGTCATGAACATTGCTTTCTTTGAATTGACTTGTAATGGTTGTTTTTTTAATTATTTGGGGTTTTTTTGGTATTACAAATCTCACACACTGATCAGTTCTTATCCAACTATATCTTGCTGTTCCAGTTATTATTTTCTAGGGGAATATCAAGTGGCACAGATATTTTATTTTTGACAAAGATACACTATCATAATGCAGGACTGCAGGTGGGAACATGAAAAAACATGATGTTACCAACCAAACAAATATAAAGCTTTTGTGGCTCCACAGGTAGCTGCATGAAGTGCGATGAAACACCCCAAGTGAAATCACTGACGTCTGTATTATTTGGGGCTGGGAGTAGTTGTGAATAATACAAACAACAGGTTTTGCCATCAAAAATAAACAAATGAATGAAAAAATAACCCTCATTTTGCTGCAATTTGTCTTTAAATCCTGTTTTCTCCTATTTTTTAAAAAGAAAAACAGCCAAATTCAGTAGCGCTATAGGAGTGATTGGCTCTCTTTTAAAATGTTTACCTTGCTCTAATGTCTTAAGTTATGTAAGAACAACTGCAACCACCACTAAATGCAAAAGGGAAAATGTAAGTGCTGTGCTTTGGTGACAACCACGTTTGCTTAAAAGGTCATTTGCGAGTGGAAACCTTTTCCCGATCAATTCATACAAGTCTGTCAACGTCTATGCAGTGTGGGTGCCAGAGTAGCGGGGACATGTGGCTCCAGTCACTTAGGTATTCAAAAAAAATTAAATCAAATAAAAATACAGAGTGGATTCACACTCTTGCTTATGTTGTTTGACAAAACAGACATTATAAATTGAAGTACACTTTAAGACCCACTTAATTTACACATAGAATAGTACTACAAGCGTCAATCATATGATAATAAACATATGAAAAGGGGCACCTAAATTATGCGCTTAATTACAGCCATAAACAGATAGTATGCTCATAGAGAAATGTGCAAAAATATCCATCTTTTATTGCAGAGGCAAAAAGAAAAGTGACTATTTGTAGTTAAACGAAGGACGGTTTTGCTGTGAGGCAACAGCACTAACCATCACACCATTGTGCTGGCCTTTTTTTCATTACCATACTAACTTGATTTAGCATATAGTTGTAAAGGGATATTGGGGATCAGAATGCAGCTGAGAGACCACAGTGACCTTTTTGGATGGGCTCTGACCTCCAAGGCATGTGTGTAACACTGATGCTGTCTATGTGAAAAGACCATGCTCACAGACTTTTAACAGACGATGCACAATAACAACATCACTATACATGTTAATGCGATAGAAATAATGATTTCAAGCAAGCACTTTCTGCAAAAAAAAAGTTCATGCTCATAGTACATGTAAGAATCTAAACTGGGAAAGCACTGCAGCAAAATAGACATGCTATAAATATCATTTATATATCTAGCATCAAGCTTAAGAGCACTTTGAATGTTTTTGAGTTCTGTGCACTTGTTGCGGTTCACAGGTTGTTGTTTAATCGAGACTATCAGACTCTAAACCCACAGAGAGCTAGGATGCTTCAAAAAGACTGCTTTGTAGGATGACATCTCCATTTCCCATTCGTCTCAAGTGTCATCCCACACTTCTCATCTCGTCTTGGAGTAACATAAACAAAACAACTGCTCAGATACTCTGCCATCTGCTCTGTCAGCATCCCTACTGCTAACACTTTATTCACCTGAATAATGCATGAGGAAAAACAGGAAGTGGAGGTGTCAGCGATTACGCTACCTTCTTTCCAAATGGGATGGCGCAACTTTACTTTCACTCCTCGCTTTGAGTTTTTCTCTTTACTCTGTAATAATCAGTAGCAAACAAACACTCAACAGCAAAGCACAGTACAAAGCCATGAAGGGATTCCTAAATGTCTTTTGTATTTTAGATTTTTCCTTATCATTTTAACCCTCTCCTGGAAATATTTTAACGATATGCAATGACAACAAAGCGTCAGCATTTATTGGATAATTTTGTGTCATTTCATTAATGATTACCACTTCATAAGTAATTTTTAATAAGATTTTTAAGGTTGTGCAAATTTGCTCCTGTGAACATGTGTCAGAAATAAATCTATTGATGCTTGATAGTGACACCCACACCTTAACTAAACTGTTCTTTGGTCATTTTTACATTTTGAAGGTCACATCACATAATTGGTACAGTTTGATAATGATTTATTTACAATATGTTGACTCGTTAGGTTTTTTGACACCAAAAAGGAGCTGGTTATAGCTTCGGGGTGGACTTAATGCCAAAACTTACCTAATCAAAAGAATCAAACCAAATGACAACAGCTTGCTTCACTCATTAAGAAAAACAGAAGAAAACTATAATCAAACAAAAAGGCAGTCCACCCCTGCACATTCCTGTATATGGTGAACAGCATTGGGCATGTTTCCAAAGGTCTGCTGGTTGGGAAGAGCCAAGGATGAATGAATGGGAGTCCATGGCGGTGTCATCATATAAGTCAGTGGTGTCGAACTCCAGGCCTTGAGGGTCCTGCAGGTTTTAGATATCGCCCTGGGTCAACACACCTGAATCAAATGATTAGTTCATTTAGGAGGAGTTGAGGAGGTCATTTAAACATTTAAATCAGCTGTGTTCAAGTTATTCAAGCTGTGATCAAGGACACATCTAAAACCTGCAGGATACCAGCCCTCCAGGCCTGGAGTTCAAAACCTGTGATATATGTCATCTCCAGCTCGTTAGCTAATCCGTATGGTCCGTCCTCTGGATCCACCAATCACGGAGAGGCACCTGCACACTGGGATTTTCATATTAGACAACAATACAACAGCAGTCGTAACATTTACATTAGATTAGAGTCGCCTTTAATGTCTCCTTTGGGAGAAATGTATATTTGACAAATGACAGAAACACAACATATAAGATAGCACACATACCAACACACAGTCAAGCTGCACTTTTTACCATTTAGTAATTGACACTAAAAAAAACTTTCTTCCTTTACTCTTTATAAAGGATGCAGTTTATATCATCAGTGATTTTCAGCGATTTTCAAACTCTGCTTTTCGAGTATCTCCTGGAGAGAAGATGGAGAAGAATGCTAATTATTCCAGGCATTTTAATCGAGTTTTGAATTTGTGATCTGAGCTTTGCAGAAAGGTTACCAAACCAAGTGCCAAAACGACATTAACATGGACCATGGACCTTAAGCATTCTTAAAAAATACAAGCGCTGACTGTTTCATGAGCATACTGGATTCATCATGCTCCACATAATAAATCCAGTTCATCATAAATTGGAGTTCCACACAGTTGAAAGTAAAAAGCTGCAACCCAAAATGCGTGGGTCAAGCCATAAAGTTGCTCTGTATGTTACACGTGTTGCTTGAGCTTCTTACCTTAGGTCTTAACTTCTTCAGATGTCACTAGAAAAAAAAGTCTTTGCAATCAGGTAATGAATTAGTTAATGATGAATAGGGATTATTGATAGCAAATATATAGATAAGTAGAGAGAGTAGACCCAGTAGCCTATCAGGGCTTTTCTTCCTACTCATCCATCAGTTTTCTCAGTTTTTGGATCAGACTGACTCCTGTTTTTTGTTTTTTTCTTTTTGTCCCAATCCACCCCAATCCCACCCCACAATCATTTTCACTCCTTGATTCTTCCCAGAAAGTGTTCCTATTGCTGTAAAACGGACATGTCCCAGCATACAGCTGCTTCCTGAGGGACCTGCAGGGGTTTTGTTCAGCTTGCCCAGTCATGCATAAATCTGGACAAACACTAGGGAGAAATGAAACCCTTCGGAGGTGAAATCTGACAAGTTAAATCATAGGAGATATTAAATGAGATCACAAAGGGATGTTTTATGCTCATGAAATTAGATTTGATATAACAGTGTCAGAGGAAATCTTTTCCCTGAACTGATTAGATATTAAACAGCTCAACGGTTTTATTTTGCTGTTTGATACCTGGAGTTCATGAAGACCCAGCTATGCCCGAAAGCGTCTCTTTAACGAACCAACCTGTT